TGTGCAACTATCACACCTGATTTTAATACATATCCTTCACCCCAAGAAGGAAGCTTGTGTCCATTAGCAGCCACGCTTTACTCTCTCCACCCGCTGCTCCCTCGCCCTGGACACGATCTACTTGCCTTACACATTTGTTTATTCAGGACTTTTCATATAAATGGAATCCTACAACATGTGGTCTTTCATTACTGGCGTTTTTACTTAGCATAATGGTTTTAAAATCCATTCGTATTGTAGCATGTGTTAGTTCATTTTTTTTTTTTTGTCTGAATTCCATTGTGTGGTTAACAGTGTCTTGAAGATTAAAAGCTTTTAATTCTAATGAAGTCCAATTTATTGACTTTTTTTATAGGCGTGCTTTTGGTCATCTACTTAAGAATCTTTATCAAATGCAAGATCACTAGGATTGTTTTCCTGTATTTTTTTCTTTATAAAAGTTTTAATTCTTCTATTTAGGTTTATAATCCATTTCTGGTTAATTTACATGATGTGGTACAGGGAAAAGGGTGAAGGATCATTTTCTTACATACGGCCATTCAGTCGTTCCAGCACCATTTGTAGAAAAATTATCCTGTCTGCATTGAATTGAAGCTGCCTTAGCTCTGTTGTTGGAAATCACGTGACTATACGTGTGACTCTATTTCTGGGCCCCCTTTTGTGCTCCACTGATCTGTGTGTCTATATGTTATTAGTCTTGATTATTCATTGTCTCGGTTACTGCATCTTTATAAGTCTTGGAATCAGGTAGTTTAAGACTTCTAACTTTTGTTGTTTTTCAAAATGCTTTTGGCCGTGCTAGACCCTTTGCATTTCACATGCATTTTAAGATAATCTTACCGTCTTTTATTTTTTACAAAAACCTGTTGGGAGTTTGCTGGTGATTGTGCTGAACTTATAGATCAAAATGGAGACAATTGACATCTTAACAATATTGAGTCTCCTGATGCACAAACATAGTATATCTCTCCTTTATTTCTTTTAAAGGTCTTTAATATTCTTGAACAAGGTAGTTTTTAGTGTTCTGGTCTTATGTACCTGTTGTCAATTTTAACCCTAGGTATTTAATAATTTTGAAACTATTATAAACATTATGACTTTTTAAAATTTCAATTCTCAGTTTTTCATCACTAGTATATGGAAATGTAATGTCATTGATGTATATATGTTAACCTTAAATCCATGACTTGCTAAACTTATTAATTAGTTCTAGAATTTTTTTTTTATAAATTCTTTAGGATTTTCTATCTAGAGATGTCCAACCTGCCCATGGGCCACATACAGATTTTGTGAGGCCTTTTTTTCTCTTCTCTGTGGTGTTAAGTATTACAAAAAGTATGTACCACAGACTTTTTTTTTTTTTTTTTTTTTTGGCTAATCAGTGTTTGTGTGTGTTTGTGTATTTACTGTGTGGCCCAAAATAACTCTTATTCTCCCAATGTGTGGCAGAGGAAAAAAGCCTGGACACCCCTGAGGATACCCATGCCATCTATAAACTGTTCCCTTTATATCTGTGTGTCATTTATTTTTCTTGTCTTATGGCACTGGCTAGGAATTCTAGTACAATGTTGATGGAAGTCGTAGAATAAGCATTGCCCAATCATTCAGTCTTTTGCCATTAAATGTAAGTGTACCCACCATCCTTTTAACCCTTTATTTATTCACGTTGTGCTGGACACTGTAGAGAAACTACTTAAGAATGCCTGTGGACTGCTTAGCTGTTCAGACCCTGAGCTATAATTATTGATAACCTGGTGGCCTTACAGCATATATTGTTTCAGATAAAGATGGTACAAGCCTTTTTACAATTAATTAAGTGGTGGCAGATGCCACCATCTGAGTTTAGAGTAGTGGTTCACAACCATGGCTGCATATGAGAATCACCTGAGAGCTTCAAAAGATCCTGATGCTTGGGCCATACAGCAGAACACTTTCATCAGCAGCCCTTTATAGTATTAATTTATGTAATCGCACTACAACTGTATAAGGAAAGGACTTGTTATGCACATTTAATAATTAAGGAAACTGAGGCTTAAAGAAAGGATAGGTACTTACACACAAATACATTGGCATTGACCCCAGAACCTGCACGTACTAAATTGCCAGGCTGTATTAGAAAGTTAAAAGGATTCGCCACCGCCTCCCCCCCTTTCCCTCACCTCTCCGTGGTTCTAGTGTCCTTTTAAAACTGGTCTAAGAAGCTGTAGGATTTGTCCTGATAATGTGTTGGTCTGTTTTTCACTCATTCATTCTTTCATTAATTTGTTTACCCACTCATAGGTCTGTAATGAGCTTTTTTACTATCTATTTTTTGTTGAGACATAGTCTCACACTGTCACTAGACTGAAGTGCAGTGGCCTCGTTATAGCTCACAGCAATCTCAAACTCCTGGGCTCAAGTGATCCTCTTGCCTCAGCCTCCCAAGAAGCTGGGACTATATCAGTGGTTCTCAACCTGTGGGTCACAATCCCTTTGGGATCGAATGACATTTTCACAAGGGTCACCTAAATACATCCTGTATATCAATATTTACATTACGATTCATAACAGTAGCAAAATCACAGTTATGAAGTAGCAACAAAAATAATTTCGTGGTTGGGGGTCGCCACAACATGAGGAGCTATATTAAAGGGTTGTGGCATTAGGAAGATTGAGAACCACTGGACTATAGGCTCCCACCACCACTCTTGGCTAATTTTTCTATTTTTAATAGAGATGGAGTCTCACTCTAACTCAGGCTGGTCTAACTCCTGGCCTCAAGGGATCCTCCCACCTCGGCCTCCCAAAGTGCTATGATTATAAGAATGAGCCACTGTGCCTGGCCTGTACTGAGTTCTTAATATCTGCAGAGTGATATGTTTATATACAGGTCATAGAGTGAAAGATTGAGAACAGCAGAGCAGCCAGAATCATGGAACAATAGCTGACATGGAAATACTTTTTTTTTTTTTTTTTTTTTGAGACAGAGCCTCAAGCTGCCACCCTGGGTAGAGTGCTGTGGCATCACAGCACACAGCAACCTCCATCTCCTGGGCTCAAGCGATTCTCCTGCCTCCATCTCCCAAGTAGCTGGGACTACAGGTGCCGGCCACAACACCCAGCTATTTTTTGGTTGCAGCTGTCGTTGTTTAGCGGGCCCAGGCTGGATTCAAATCCGCCAGCTCAGGTGTATGTGGCTGGCACCTTAGCTGCTTCAGCCACAGGCGCTGAGCCCAGAAATACATTTTTTAAAGAATACAGGAGAAGGAAGGATGAGGATACAGGCATGTGAAGTAATGCTCAAAAATTACTGACTAATCAATTCAGAGTATGGCATAATGTCATCTGTATACTGGTGTGTCTACAACTGCTCACTGTGTAACCCATTAACTCCTCCAATCTAATTTTTTACTCAGTGTTTGTGTATGTACTGTGTGGCCCAAGTATATAGCCATGGTGCAGAGGGTTGGGCCTGGGGTCTTTTCTAAACTGAGCAAGGAGTTTCTGGCCAGGTGAAAAAAAGCTGTGGGATACCAAGAAGGAAAATAACATTTAATGAAAACCTGCCATGTTCCAAGCATCATGCGAGATGCTTCCCATATGCTATTCCATTTGATCTCTATGCCCACCCTAAGGAATAGGCATTATCCAAATTTTATCCCAGTTTTACAGACAAGAAAACAGATTCACAGATCAGCAACAGGTAAAGCTGGGATTGAGGACAGGTTTGTCCATTTTCAAAGCTAATGCCTTGTCCCTGTTCAGAGACTCCAAGATTGTGCAGAGACAGACAGCATTCATATTTTTCTCTTGACTTGCCATTTCTAAATCTGATGATTACCATTGTGAAATGTGGGGAAGAGATGGAAAAAAGAGTACTAGAAAAGGAATTTCAAAATTAGAAAGGAAGGCCAGGCATGGTGGCTCATGCCTATAATCTTAGCGCTCTGGGAGACCAAGGCAGAAGGATCCCTTGAGCTCACTTTGAGCCTGAGCAAGAGCAAGATCCTGTGTATACTAAAAATAGAAAAACTAGCCCGGTGCAGTGGTGGGTGCCTGTAGTCCCAGCTGCTTGGGAGGCTGAGGGAATAGGATCGCTTGAGCCTGAGAGTTTGAAGTTGCTATGAGCTATGATGATGCCCTAGCACTCTACCCAGGGCAACAGGGTGAGACTCTATTTCAACAACAACAAAAAAAGTAACAGCAACACCAAAAAAAAAAAAATTAGAAAGGCACAGGATGGTGTACATCAGAATTTAAACCGATGGTGGAAGACGGTGAGGAGCTCTCGTCCTGTTTTCTTAGCTCCATTCTCGGATGAATTTAAGATGAAATCAGCTGGGCATGTCCTTTAGTCAAATTGATATTAGGCATTTCATAAATTCATGGCTTTTTAAAATTCATCAGAAAACAAAAAGCAAGACACAATTTTAAAAACCTTTGAACTCGTTTAAAAAGAAAGTAAATCCTTAGGAGCTGCCCCTCCCGACAGGAGAAATTAAGGTCAAACTCTGGAAATGTTTTTTGTTTTTTTTCTTTTTGTCCAGAAACAACCTTCCCGATCAGTTAGTTGTTGCTCACTTGGGGATCTTGTCTCCAGGACCTGAGGGGTACAGGTGTTTTCTCTCATGCCCTGGCTGGCCCAAAGCATGAGTCTTTATTGTCCACTCAGAACGTTCTTGCATTTTGGGGGTAATTTTCGTGTGCTGGATGTATTGGTTTTATGTATAAATAAAGGACACATGAAGATCCAAATGAAGGGCTTCATCTCCTTCATGGTCTGGGGGAGCTGTGTCAGAAGGGACCGCAGAGGGGGCCTGGTTCCCAACTTGTCATTTCTCACGTGAAATGAGACTGAAACCCAGTGAGTCTTACGTGTTTTTCTCCAAGATTCTGAAATCACTTTGGACAGAGATGCCACTCACAACCAGGATGTGGGACTGCGCGTGTCCCAGGAATAGTGTGCTTCCTGTCACGACAGTTCCGCCTTCTTACGTGTGTGACTTGTTCTTCACCCGCAGGTTCTTCAGAAACCGACCCCGGAACTCAAGCACCAGCTGGCTGCTTTCTCCAAGCGAGTCGCCGGCGCGGTGACGGAGCTCATCCAGGCAGCAGAGGCCATGAAGGGTAGGTCCGATTCTCTCCTGTCCTCACGTCTTCCCACACGGCACCCCTCTGAAGCTGGGCTAGTACTGTGGACGGAGCAGAGGAAAAGCATGACCCACGCAGGACCTTTGCTGGCAAATGCAGCCAGACAGAAGAGTCCAGGGAGGTACTTTCCTAAAGCAAGCAGGTGTGGGATTTTAAAAGTCCCATCCTCCCTGCAGCCAGTCTTTTCTCTAGTCTTCGTATTAAGTTCTTGTACTTAAATGGTATAATCCATCTAGAACTATTCACTTCCCGCAAGAGTCTCCCCATGCTTTTTCATTCATCAGGGATATTTATCTCCATTCAAATAATACTTTATGAACGTAAAGATGATTTAGAAAACAGCGCTATCTGAGGATGTTGGTTGCACACCTCTTCATGCTTCATAGAAGCAGTCAGCTCATCAGGGAAAGGTTTGCTCACAGGTCTCCCTTCCTTTGAGTTGAGGTGAGTGGCCATTCCTCGAGTGTTCTGGAAGAAAAGAATGGCAAATCTCTGTGTGGTCTAGAGACTCCTGAGGATACGTATATTCCTGAACTTTAAGTTCAAAGTCAGAGTAAGGCTGAAGCCTCCGTCTATCAGATCTTCATTTTGGAAGCTGCTACTGCTCCCATGGTAGGACTGTACCCACTACTGACTTAGAGAGCAAGGATTAGCTCCCCCAAACCCCTACGTCCAGGGAACCTTTGTAAGAGCTGAGAGAAGGTCTCTTAGGACAGGGCAGACAGTCTGCTCGTGGGGCCCCCAAATGCAGATCCCACATATTGTTTGCTATTAAGGATTAAGCCAGTGCTCTGAGGTCTACAGCTACCGACAGTGATCTTCTTTCGGACCAATTTCAGGAACAGAGTGGGTGGATCCAGAAGACCCAACTGTGATTGCAGAAACAGAATTACTGGGGGCTGCAGCATCCATTGAGGCTGCTGCTAAGAAGTTAGAGCAACTGAAGCCAAGAGCAAAACCAAAAGTGAGTGTTCATCTGTGGCTGATTGTCTGACATCAGTAGGTCTCTCAGCAGGCGGCTGTGAATGGAGCTGGGTGTTCTGTAGGGAGCCTGTCTCCCTCCCCAGGGTGCCTGGTGTGCAGCAAACCTGTTTTACCTGCCCAGAGCCTTTTTACAAAGTATGGGGGAGAAACCAGCGGGAGAGGCTTTCAAGTTAACTGCACGGAAAAGTACCTCTGGGTGTCCAGAGGAAGAATTGGGGCAATTATAGTCTTGATTTAGTTCTATTATATAAAGCAGGTGTTAGATGCTTCCTGGCAAAAGTTCCTGTTACTGGATGTGAGATTGTTGGCCTCCAATTTTCTGGTTTCCATTATGCTTTTACAGAGAAATAGCAGTGCTGAGAGTCAACAGAGGGCATTGCGAGTCCCAGAGGTGCACCCATTTAAAGACTTTCAGTGTATGCTGGAGACTGGTTGGCTAGTGGGTTTTTTCCATCTGTATTTGTAATCTAGATACACGTTTAAAATTGAAGATCATGAGTATATGTTAGGAGACATAGCCATTTAAAGGAGAGAGATACTGCTAGGTTGGGTAGTAGGGAGGTCACTTTCTAAATAAAAGGATGTCAAGTTAGTGTGTCTCCAGGGCAAAGCCCCTGTAACCCTTCTTAAGCTGTGACCCCTCAGCCCACCTTCCATGGCATTATCAGCAGCAGGAAGGTAGTGGAACCAGAGGTGGCCCCTTAAGATTTTCTGGTTCATTCCTTAAAAAAAAAAAAAAAGGAATCCCTCCTACCCCAGTTAGGGTACATAAGTTTTTATATATATAGAAAGAGAGAGAGAGAAAAATATATGTATATGATTAAAGAATAGAGTTTGAGCACAGAATATACCAAATTGCCCAAAGGCATTCCTGGGCCAACATTGTGTGTAAAATATACCCAAGCACAAGCACTTGGGAGTCTGTTATGCTTGGGAACAAACCTTCAAGTTTTTAGAACCAATCTCCTAATGGTCCCTCTAGGCTTGGTAAAGACATCCAGTCAGTTTCTCAAAATGTAAGAGTTTTGGCTTCTGGTCTGGGAGTTTACCAGGGTGCTTCCTACCAGCCTCGAACCTGGAGGGCTAAGTTGCCTGGTAAGGTCAGAGGTTTTCTTCCAAACTTAGAAGCTGAGTGTGAATGTTGGGACAACTCCATTTTCTGGTTGTGTCGTTTCTTCTTTGTAACTCAAATTAATTGTGATCGGAAAATGTACTTTAAATGTAGGAATCAACCATTAACTAAGATTTAGAGGTTTGGTGCGTAATTTGTTCCTTATCTAACGGCAAAGCCATGTCAGTGACACTTTCAGTCTCCTGGGAAATTAGCCTGGTACTAATTGAGCATTAACATGTCACCGTATCCTAAGAGCCCCCTTCCAACTCCTCCTCTTTGTCTTCCTGCAGGGTCCTTCCAAGCTCTTGTCTGTCTCTGAGTCCTGGCTTCCCTCTGTCCAGTCATTTATTTACTTCATGATTCTTGATCGGAAAAACAAAATTATTAACGTTCCCGCCCTACGGGACTGTTAGAGCAATTGAGATGTTTTCAGAGCACAGTGCCAGACTTGCAGTAAGACTCAGTGAACGAGTCTATACCACCTTTATGGTCGTCATCGTGCGGTTAGGACTTTTATCCTAGGAGAATGCCTTCAATAAAAATTGTATTGTAGTCCCCACAAGAAAAGAAAAGCAAAAAGCTCCCAGTGATGCGATGCCAAGTGCATGACAGGCAGTCTGATGTACTTTACACGGATTAACTCATCTGATTCTTGCAAAAAGTCCGTTAGAATCAGACACTCCAAAAGGCCATTACCTTGCTGGGGTCAGGTCACCATGGCTGAGCTGAGAGGGGTGCATGTGAGCTCTGGGTGGCAATTTCAGTTCACACTAGTCCCCTTTTGCCCCCCACTGTCAGAGAAGGCTTGTCTAGTCCCACGAGGGCTGTTTGGGGTCTGCATGTGCCCATTGGGTGATTAATCCCACCACTGGAAATCTCTCCTGTGGGGGAGATCCAGGCAGGGAAGAAGGCTGTGTGCATGGGAGAGGCTGGTTCCTTGCAGTCTTGTCTGTAGTATGGAGAAGTTGGATCTTACATGAGTGTCGCCTTGAAGGAGTATCGTGTAGCTGCTGAAAATATGGTTGCTGGGAGTCTGTAGCACAGTGGTTCTCAACCCTCCTAATGCTGCCACCCTTAATACAGTTCCTTGTGTTGTGGTGACCCTCAAGCACAAAATTATTTTTGTTGCTACTTCGTAACTGTAATTTTGCTACTGTTATGAATCGTAATGTAAATATCTGCTATGCAGGATGCATTTTCATTGTTACAAAGGGGTCACAACCCCCAGTTGAGAACCACTGCTGTAGCATGAAGATTCTCATGATATGATGTGGGGGCAGATGGAGGATGCAGAATTATGAGCTCATTGTGATTACAACTCTAAAAAAATACTTTCATATGACAGTGGTATGTAGGGGCAGTACAAGAACGATGATGGAACTGGAGTGATGGAGGAGTCTGTTTTAAAAATAACAGCACTTTAAAGATTAATCACAACTGTTGAAGTGAGCCAGTGAGGACTCCCAACAGTACTCTAAGATCATTTACAGTGAGAATGTTTACAGGAAAGCTGAGGACTCCTTCAGTAAGGTCAAGGTTAACATAAATGATTTGAATCCTTTATTTGTGGGTACCCACCTTTCTCCCATCATTTCAGGAAAGGTGTTGGGTACTTCTGGAATGTTTTATACATGGTGTGAAGTCTTTCTCTGCCTCATGATCAGAGGTTCCCTCTACATGGGTATTATCTAACAGTAAAAGAACTGTTTTGTTTAAGAAATCATCAACCCACACCATAGCTTTTGTATCTGTCTAGGGGGGAATCTACTTTGTGATAACTTCTGCATGAAATAAAATATCTTCCTCACCTTTATAAAGAATTGAATGTCTCCAGTTTAAAAAAAAAAACAATAGCAACAACAGTCTTGACACCAAAATCAACCAGGCTTTTGAGGTTCATTGCTTCTCTCCATCCTCCCCTATAACCTTAAAAAAAAAAAAAAAACCTCAAGATACTATAAATAAACAATTGCTATTACATCCCCATCCCCTTACAAGCACACGTGCCCTCAGTGTAAAATGAGTATGTCTTCTTTCTGTAACTGGGGAGCATTTACACGGCTTTGGAACAGTTTGGGGGAGGGAGGTGATGATTTTGTTTAAATTGCTCTGTTCACCACACTCTCAGGTTGCCTGTTTTAACAGGAGAATGGTCCATGGTTTATGACGATGATTCTGGTATATTCCCACCTCAAGCCCTTAAAATTTAAGTATCTCTTTTTACCCGGAGTTTCCCAGACAGGCACTACTGAATCCATTGTTCACTTAGGAAAATGGTGTAAGGGCAACATGAGAATGTCGCTGAGTGCTGGTGCATGTGCTGACAGTATTGCCGATGGCGCCGTTTCCACACCTGCAGACAGACCTGTGCTCCAAAGACAGGTATCGGAGTTGCTGCAATGGTGACCACCCCCTGCAGCTGTAACCTTCAATCCTGTGCCTGTTCTCGAGCTCAGTCAAACTTGGATGCCTTTTCTGCAGGCCTCTGTGTGATATGTTTGATATATTAGGTTGTTATTTAATCCAACTATATATCAAACATATTCCTACAGTGTCTTGCCCTGTCTCCGGGGGTTCCTAATAAAGTTTAGAAGGCAACAAGATAGAATATGTTAAAATCACAAGTAGATTTAGAAGATTGGACCACTCAGTACAAATCATTATGTTACATTTCATTTCTTCTTGTGGCATTGGAGATCTGTCATCAGGATGACTAGATTAGTTATTATAGAAACAAATTATGATTATTGATGTCTTGTAAGAGCTGGAGATATTTTTACAGCTCAGTTTTGTGCCGCGTTGAGCCCTGACTTGGTGGAAAAAAATGGAAAGTTCTAACCCATGTCTGTGATATGGGATGAAGTTAAGGATTATAACCTCTGAATACATACAGATTTATATTTTATTTCAGTTCGTTTTTATCCTGATCTTCCATTTAAAAGTCAGTAATTTTCACAATCAAGGTTTTAGCCAAAATTCAAGGGGCACAAATCAGTTATTTGTAACTTTCCTTCCCACTTACAGTACTAAAATGTATAAACCAAAGCAGTCATACCAAGTGTATGGACGGTGAGTCACTGGGTTCCCTTCCAACCCTGGTTAAGACTGAATATATCTCTCAAAGATAACGTAATGTGGACCATATTCTGTCTGTTGAATTTCCTGTTATAGGTTAACTTGTCAGCAAAGGCTGATAATGTTTAGAATAAACCAACAATCAGAAAGTAATTTCACAGCCTAATTGGAATTACTGAGACAGGAAGTTTGGGGTTATGGTGTAGAAAATATTTTTCTGGTATCTGACAGCTGCCTTTGGTTGTTTTGACCTCTTCCTCGTAGAAGGCCTGTGGAGTATGTGTGAGTTCATCCTGAGTTCTCTCAACAAAAGACTTTGTGAGCACTGTTTTCTGGAAAGAGAACTACTGTGCTCTTCATGCAGTGGTTTAAAGCGGTCAGTGTAGAAGTTTCCTCTGGCTATGTCTAGAATTCATCACCAGGTTGCTGACAGGTGAATGCATGGTGATGGGGTCACAGACAGCAGAAGGGGGATGTGTGATGTTGGAGTCCTGGACTCTGGAGTGATAAAGGGGAACCTGTCCATGTAAACATCCTCCACTGAGAGTGATCTGTGTGTGTCCGCAGGTGCTCTGCCAGGCAGATTAGATGCTGCCCAGATCACTCCCACCTTCACACAGCAAGACAACCTTGGTTTGGGTTTTGAGTCCAATTAAAGTTGTTTGACTAAAATGACAACTGGCTAGAAAAGAGATAGCAAGTTATTATGAGTAGAGAAAAACAGGTTAAGATGGTGACTCACACCTGTAATCCTAGCACTTTGAGAGGCCAAAGCAGGAGGATTGCTTCAG